GGGGTGCGGTGCGGGGCCCGGAGGAGACAGGAGCCGGCTGCTGGATTCCGCTCTGGCCCACCCCAGGGAGGTGTGCGGCGGGGGCAGGAGGGTGACAGGGACCGCCTGGGAATCCTGTCCCAAGTTTGCTGCTTCTCCTTCCTTATCTAACAGACTACTCGGGAGGGGTGAAGAGGACGCCCCTGAACCTAAGCAGCTGTGAATGGCTCTAGGGGACACCTCTTCACTTTCTCAACTCCGACCTTTGTGTCCTCGCTATACGCTTTGTCTCGGGCCAGATTCTCTGTGACTGGGAAGGGCTCCCGCCCACAGCTGGCTTCTCCTGTAAAGTAAGGGGTTGGGAGAGAGGGGTGGAGGGACACTGATGCTTCCCAGGGTAGGCAGGTCGGTGCCGGATTGTGGGGCTGAGCGTTCCCTCCAGGCCCCTCCTCTGATCATGCCCCAGCCCTGACCAGCCTTGATGGGGACTTTTCCAGAGAAAAAAGAAGTCCTCTCTCCACTCTGTTCTCGCCTCTGGCCCAGCGAGAGCAGGTTTGGAAACAGGACCCCCCTCTGTCTCTTCCCAGTCCCCCTCCTAGGAGTCTGATCGCTCTCCAGGTATCCCGTGGGCTGGGAGTCGGAATGTGTCCCCAGAGCACACAGCTGGGCAGCCAGAGGACAGTCACTCTGGCAGAGTGTGGGGATCCCTGGGAACCCGAGCTGCTCCAGGTCACCCTCACAGGCCCTTTGTGAGCGGCCCCGGAAGGAGCTCCGGCACTGCAGATTCAGGATATCTGGCTCTGGTTCCGACCTTTCTTTAGCCGCCCTCCCCCCCTAATCCGGCTGAGACCCAGTCAGCTGCTCTCACTTCCCCCTCTGAGTTCTCCATCTCCTCCAGGCCTGTCTGCTGGCTCCAGATCAGAAGCTGGGACGAGAACCCCTCCCCCTCCCCCTTCCTGGCTCATTCTGGTGTGTCTTGAGTTGCTCTTGTTCTCTGGGAAACAAGACGGACTGACAAACATTCTCCCTTCCCCCTGCCCTGACATCTCTGGAGTTCCTCGCTCCTACCTCGTGGGTTCGTTTCTCTAGCTAGCATCGCTCGGTGCCCTGGGCCCCACCTTTAGGCTGGAGCAGGTCAAGTGGAGGCTGAGGAGCAGACGGTCCAGGAGGAGGGAGCCTGTCCTAGTGGGGTGAAGGGGTTGGCACTGCCTACCCTCCCACATTCCTGGCACTCACCGATGTTGCCAGGGCCCTAAGCTTGTGCCCTGGCCCCACTGCCGAGGATCAGGAGTTGGCCAGTCAGGGCGTCTCTGTGGTTTCCCGCTGACTTCACTCTGTTCCAGACAGGTGGGGGCTGATGCTGGTGCTAAGAGGAGCTGAAGAGGCCCTGGGGAGGGACTGGGCAGGGCAGGATGGGCGAAGCCCTGGGCCCAGAGGGGACATTATCTCAGGTCTGTTTGCTGCTCTGTGAGTGAGCGTTCTCACCCAGCCCCAAGGCCAAGAGTGTATCTGGGTAGCAAGGACACTGGAGCGCTCCCCCCTCCTAATAGATTGCGCCTCAGGGTGGTGATGGCTTTGTTCACAGCTGCTGGCTGGTTGGAGCAGGGCAGGCCGGGTGTTTCTGTATCCGTCCCTCCTCCCTGTGGGGTGAGGGGGAGGGATGGGCTGTGTGGAAAGGTGAGGGTGGGCCTGTCTAATGGACGCCTGGGCCGAGTGAAGGTGTGGGCTCTGAGCCCCGCTATGGGCTCCTGAGCTCCCTAGCCCTGAGTTCCCCTTGTCCTGTGTCCTTCAGGTGAAGAGTGAGGGACCCAAACTGGTGCCCTTCTTCAAGGCCACCTGCGTGTATTTTGTGCTCTGGCTGCCCTCATCCAGCCCATCGTGGGTCAGCGCCCTCATCAAGTGCCTGCCCATCTTCTGCCTCTGGGTCTTCCTGCTTCCTGCGGGCCCACCCCAGCGCCACCCGCATCTTTGTGGGGCTCGTCTTCTCTGCTCTAGGTGATGCCTTCCTCATCTGGCAGGACCAGGGCTACTTTGTGCACGGTCAGTGGTTATAGTAGCTGCTGGGGAGGGGTCCCGGGGCTGGTGGTTAGAGGGCGCCAGGGGGCCAAGGATCTGGAAGAGGGAGCTTTGAACCACAGTTTGGGGAGTCTGAGGGTTTCTGACACTAGGAACTGCTGGGGCCCCTGTTGGGATGACCTTGCAGGAGAGTCGATCAGTTCTAGAGTTCTTCAGAGGAGTGGGGTGTTGGTCGAGCACACAGCTGGGCAGCCAGAGGACAGTCACTCTGGCAGAGTGTGGGGATCCCTGGGAACCCGAGCTGCTCCAGGTCACCCTCACAGGCCCTTTGTGAGCGGCCCCGGAAGGAGCTCCGGCACTGCAGATTCAGGATATCTGGCTCTGGTTCCGACCTTTCTTTAGCCGCCCTCCCCCCCTAATCCGGCTGAGACCCAGTCAGCTGCTCTCACTTCCCCCTCTGAGTTCTCCATCTCCTCCAGGCCTGTCTGCTGGCTCCAGATCAGAAGCTGGGACGAGAACCCCTCCCCCTCCCCCTTCCTGGCTCATTCTGGTGTGTCTTGAGTTGCTCTTGTTCTCTGGGAAACAAGACGGACTGACAAACATTCTCCCTTCCCCCTGCCCTGACATCTCTGGAGTTCCTCGCTCCTACCTCGTGGGTTCGTTTCTCTAGCTAGCATCGCTCGGTGCCCTGGGCCCCACCTTTAGGCTGGAGCAGGTCAAGTGGAGGCTGAGGAGCAGACGGTCCAGGAGGAGGGAGCCTGTCCTAGTGGGGGGAAGGGGGCCTCCCACATTCCTGGCACTCACCGATGTTGCCAGGGCCCTAAGCTTGTGCCCTGGCCCCACTGCCGAGGATCAGGAGTTGGCCAGTCAGGGCGTCTCTGTGGTTTCCCGCTGACTTCACTCTGTTCCAGACAGGTGGGGGCTGATGCTGGTGCTAAGAGGAGCTGAAGAGGCCCTGGGGAGGGACTGGGCAGGGCAGGATGGGCGAAGCCCTGGGCCCAGAGGGGACATTATCTCAGGTCTGTTTGCTGCTCTGTGAGTGAGCGTTCTCACCCAGCCCCAAGGCCAAGAGTGTATCTGGGTAGCAAGGACACTGGAGCGCTCCCCCCTCCTAATAGATTGCGCCTCAGGGTGGTGATGGCTTTGTTCACAGCTGCTGGCTGGTTGGAGCAGGGCAGGCCGGGTGTTTCTGTATCCGTCCCTCCTCCCTGTGGGGTGAGGGGGAGGGATGGGCTGTGTGGAAAGGTGAGGGTGGGCCTGTCTAATGGACGCCTGGGCCGAGTGAAGGTGTGGGCTCTGAGCCCCGCTATGGGCTCCTGAGCTCCCTAGCCCTGAGTTCCCCTTGTCCTGTGTCCTTCAGGTGAAGAGTGAGGGACCCAAACTGGTGCCCTTCTTCAAGGCCACCTGCGTGTATTTTGTGCTCTGGCTGCCCTCATCCAGCCCATCGTGGGTCAGCGCCCTCATCAAGTGCCTGCCCATCTTCTGCCTCTGGGTCTTCCTTCTGGCCCATGGCCTGGGATTCCTGTCTGCTGCCTCTGGGTCTTCCTTCTGGCCCATGGCCTGGGATCCCTGCTGGCCCACCCCAGCGCCACCCGCATCTTTGTGGGGCTCGTCTTCTCTGCTCTAGGTGATGCCTTCCTCATCTGGCAGGACCAGGGCTACTTTGTGCACGGTCAGTGGTTATAGTAGCTGCTGGGGAGGGGTCCCGGGGCTGGGGGTTAGAGGGCCCCAGGGGGCCAAGGATCTGGAAGAGGGAGCTTTGAACCACAGTTTGGGGAGTCTGAGGGTTTCTGACACTAGGAACTGCTGGGGCCCCTGTTGGGATGACCTTGCAGGAGAGTCGATCAGTTCTAGAGTTCTTCAGAGGAGTGGGGTGTTGGTCTTTCTCTCTGTGGAGGGTCCCATCCCTGTTACTCCCAAAGCTGTGTAGTGTTCCGCACGCCCCTTCCCTGTCCCTGCTGCTCATCACACCTGCACTCAGTATCCCTCACCCCCCTGCTCCAGGTCTGCTGATGTTCGCTGTGACCCACCTGCTCTACTCCTCAGCCTTTGGCATGCGGCCTCTGGCTCTTCGGACAGGTCTGGTGTTGGCCGTGCTGTCAGGCCTGTTCTATGCCCTCCTGTACCCGGGCCTCACAGGTGCCTTCACCTACCTGGTGGGGGTCTACGTGGCCCTCATCAGTTTCATGGGCTGGCGGGCCATGGCGGGGCTGCGGCTGGTCGGGGCAGCCTGGCGCTGGACCGAGCTGGCGGCCGGCAGTGGCGCGCTGCTCTTTATCGTCTCAGACATGACCATCGCCCTCGACAAGTTCTGCTTCCCTGTGCCTTATTCGCGGGCACTCATCATGTCCACCTACTACGCCGCCCAGATGCTCATCGCCCTGTCGGCTGTCGAGAGCCGGGAGCCAGTGGAAGACTGTAAACTGAGCAAGGCCAACTGAGGGGCTCAGGCCTGCACCCTGGGAACCTGCAGGAGTTGGATCAGGAGGGCTGCAGTGCCAGCCTGGCGCAGCAAGGAATTCACAGGCTTGAGGGGGGAAGCAGGAAGAAGCTCTTCCCAGCAAAGCCAGCAGTCCGGGATGATGCTGAGAGCTAGAAGAGTCCCCTGTGGAGCCAGAAGTAGACATCTTCCCACCTCTACGCCATCGGGCCGTCACTGGCAGGGTGACGGTGCTCAGCGTCTTGAACTCAACCCCCCTCCTTCCCCTACCAGGAGAAGCTGGGCTCACCCTCCCTCAACCTTGCTGATCTGCACAGACTTGAGGGAAAGAGGCGGAGAACTCTGTTCTGAGATGACCCAGGCCCAGGGCTTGAAGCCCCTTTCACAGGCCTCTAGTCGGGAAGACTGGGTGAGGGTGGAGTCTCCCTTTTCCTCTATCCTTATTACTTGAACAACCTCAGTCTCTTAAGTGGTGGATGGGAAGGTGAAAGGGCAGGCAGGAAGGAAACTTCCTTGGTCTGGGAGCTGTGGGTACCAAGGGTTTAAGTTGGCCCCATCTTTCCCACAGGCCAGCTCAAAGCGACGGCCTCATACCGCTACCCTCAGACCCAATAATCTCCAGGGCTAGGGTGAACCATGCCAAAGGACGGGGCCAGCCTGCTGTGTGTGTGTGTGTGTGTGTGTGTGTATGTATGTGTGTGTGTACATGTGTACATGTAGTCTGTCTCAGCCTGCCTGTGTCTCAAAGTCTCATAGCAGGAGGGACTCGGGGAGCTGCTGAGGGGGTGCTGAACCTAACCTGGGATCCCCTCCTCCCAACACACACTCAATGCTTTCCTCCCTGCCCCTCCTGCACTGGGAGCAAGAGGAGGGGGCTCTAATGACACTGTGGGGTCACAAGACCCAAAGCACATTCAATGCAAGGGGAACCAAGGATGGGACAGCTCCATCCTGTACTGCCCATGTGGAAAAAAATAAATCCAAGGACCACTGACTGGCCTGCTTCTCTGCCTGCGTGGCGTGTGCCTGTTCTGGAGGGGGGTGGAGGCGTGGCGCCAGAGGCCTGGCTGTCCTCACAGTCCTGGCCAGTGCATCTTGGCGCCAGACTGGCTCCCAGGCCCTGGTGACACTGTGCGGGCTGGAGTGGGTCTCATTTCCCTTGTCACGTGTGGGCGAGGATGTGGTTCCAGAGGGTGGGGGATGGGTAGTATCGCCGCTGTCCGAGTTTGACCGAGATGCCCTCCCCTGTGCACAGGTGCTCAGCACCCTTGGTGACCCCTAGTTACCCAGTGTCCTCGTCTGCTGCCCACCTCCTCCCTCACCACCCCAGACCTACTGCCTGCTCTAAAACAATCCAGATTCCTTTCAAACATTTCCTGGCCCCTGGATGCTGGGCTTAGCTGGGAGGAATGAGATTAGATTGGCTGAGTCATACTTGAGATGTAAAGCCCTGGTAGAATAACGGGTCACCCCATTAATAAGCAATGCCCTGGGGGCGGCAGGCAGCTTGGTGGTTAAGGGCACTGGACTCTCATGTAGCCAATGTTAGTTCAAGACTAGACCTGGTGGCTTGCTTTCTCGCTTTCCCTCTTTCTATCCCTCTCTGGTCAAATTAAAATAATGATAATAATAAATAAAGTTAAATGAAATTATTCTTAAAAAAATAAGCAATGTCGGGAACCAGCAGTTAGCGTAATGGCTATGTCGCTGGACTCCCACGTAGTCGACCGAGGTTCGTGTCCCGGACCCGGTGGCTTAAAACTCACACTGGGCGCGTGTGCGTGCGTGCCCAAGATCCCGAGAGGAGAATGGAGGAGAAGGGATTGCGGCGTGACCATCCCCCCTGGGGGGTGATTTCTCACTTTCTGTCTCTATGTCTCTCTCTGTCTGTCTGGTGAGCGCACGCGCCCTATAGCGAAAACCTCTCCAAAAAAAAAAAAAAATCTCTCCAAAAAAAAAAAAAGAGCAATGTCCTAACCCAGAAGTCAAAAATGGAAGCCTTGGGTGGTGGTGGATATTCCATTAGTAGGGGTGTTCACACATTTGTGGGATGGTGACACAGGAGACTCAAGTTATTCGGATACTGGATGAATCAATGATTTTCAAGCTAGGATTTTATGGCATTCCCTGGATCCCCCAGGGCACTGTGCAATGTAGCAAAGGAATAAGGAGAGGAGGGAGTCTCAAAATGCCCTAATTTCAAGTCCAGACTAGATTTTTTTTTTTTTTTTGCCAGAGGGCATGTGCAGTAGCTGGATAAAGAAGAAAAGGGGAAAGCATCTCCCATGAGGAATGGTCACGCTGCAACCTCTCCTCTCCATCCCATTGAGACCTTGAGCCTACACACAAACATGCCTGGTGTGTTTCTCAAGCTCAGGTCTGACACTCAAACTGCAGTCAGCCACAGGGGATCTAGTTGCCCCAACCACCAGGCCACAGAGCTGTTTTTTTTTTTTTTTTTTAAAAGGAAGGATTCTGAGGACCAGTAGATGGCGTAATGGTTACGTCACTGAACTCCCACATAATTGACCGTGGTTTGAGTCCCAGACCAGGCAGCTTAAAACTCACGCAGGGCATGTGTGCATGTGTACCCAAAATCCCAAGAAGAAAATGGAGAGAAGATTGCAGTATGATTATCCTCCCAAGGGGTGATTGCTTGCTTTCTGTCGCCTCTGGTAAATGCATGTGCCCTATAGCAAAAAAATCTCTTAAAAAAAAAAAAAACAACAAAAAACAAAGGATTCTGTTATAAAATATAAATTTGGAACCTCGTTCGTCCTCTAGTTCTGATGGCAGGAACCTGGAGCACTTAAGATGCAAGATCCTGATCCTTTCGAACTCCAACCCTGAACACAGGCCCACCTGGTGTGACGATACCAGAGGGAGTGCATGGGGAGAAGGATGAAGTCAGACTTGTCCTGAGGGAAGGGAAACGCATGGTGTGGGTGCAGAGGAGGGGGAGGCAGGGCAAGGCACAGCCAAACGGGAGGTGGTCACTGCCTTGTGGATGCCTTCCGACCAGGCTCTCAGTGTTCCAGGCCTGGGGATCCGCATCCTGTACGTGTATCTATTTCCCTGCTGCACACCACCCTCAGGAACAGGAAAGGGGGAGCTAGTACGGTGAGTTTATTGTCCCATCGCTTCACTGAATGTTTACACTGATGAGCACCAGAGCAAGCTGGGCTGCTGGGGCTGTGCACGGGCCAGGCCAAGGAGCCTGTCTCACGCCAACCTCCTGATGCCTGGGCTGGGTTAGAGCTCACATAAGGTGCTTTGACTTCTTCTGCAGACTCTCGGTGATGGAGGCTAGAATCGTCTTGTCTTCTTTGTCTGAAAGAGCAAAGCAAGTATCTGTTAGTGTTAATGAGGCTGGGGCCCAGGAAATTCCAAACTGCTGAAGTTGGAGTTGCTACACGGGAACCAGAGACTAGACTCTGGAACTCTTGATCCTGGGTTGGCCGAGTGTGTGGGGCCAGTATCTGCTAGGCATGGCGCCAGACATTTCCACGCACGATCTCATTTAAGCCTCGCAGGCTGTGAAGTAGATGAGCCTGTGAGGTTTCAGAGAGGTGGTTTGCCAAGGTCACATGGCTGGTCGGTGGTGCAGCCAGGGCCCTGGGCCCGTGTTTAAATCAGAGTTGTCAGAGATTTCTCTAGCCATGGAACGAGAGCTGGCTGGCTACCACGGTGCCGTCCCTAGCCTCACTATGTTACACACTTCGGCAGCCACTTTGGAGGCATCGTCTCGGTGCCAGGCACTTAGCTGAACGCTTGAGAGACAGAGCAACAGGACATGGTTCATTCCCCAAACGAAGGCATCTCTAACTGGATGGAAAAGTCTGTCACCATGGAGACCACAGCAATGGCGTGTCCTGGAGGTTCAGGAAGTACAGAGAATGAGGCTGGAGAGGCAGGGGAGGAGGAGCTCACTTGCTTGGGATTTTCCCCTGGAGGTCAGGGGAAATTTATAGGAGAATTAAAGTAAGAAGGAGCAAGGTAGGTTAGCTTGCAGTAATGGCGTAATGGTTACGTCACTGAGCTCCCACATAATTGACCATGGTTTGAGTCCCGGACCAGGTGGCTTAAAACTCACGCAGGGCATGTGTGCGTGTGTACCCAAAATCCCAAGAAGAAAATGGAAAGAAGATTGCAGTGTGGTTATCCTCCCAAGGGGTGATTTCTTGCTTTCTGTCTCCTCTGGTAAGTGCATGTGCCCTATAGCAAAAATCTCTCAAAAAAAAAAAAAAAAAAAAAAACCAAAAAAAAAAAAAAAACCACAAAAAAACACATAAAGGATTCTGTTACAAAATATAAGTAAGTATTTGGAAGCTTGCTTGTTTAAAGTTTGCACTGCCAGCTATGAACCTATGAAGACAGGACCCTGTGGGAATGAAATATTCCTCCCACCCTGTGCATACACATGGGCAGAAATGGGGCATGCATGACCAAGAGGAAGAGATGCCTTCAGTCCTCCCCATCTGTGCTTTCCATAGGCCTTATTTTAGACCAGTAGTTTTCCATCTTGATTGCACATCAGAATCACTTACGATGTTTTGTAGTTTTTAAAATTTATTTAAAAAAATGTTTTTGTTTTTGTTTTTGTTTTTAGGTTTTTACCTTAGGGGGTGTGTATTCGCTGGGGAGAGAGAAAGAGATGGTGAGAGGGAATGTGAGAAATCATCCCTGGGGGGGATGGTTATGCTGCAATCCCTTCTTCATTCTCCTCTCAAAATCTTGGGCACATACATGTGCCCGGTGTGATTTTCAAGCCACTGAGTGTGGGACTTGAACTGCGGTCAGCCATGTGGGAGTCCAGCGAAGCAACCACTATGCCATCTGCTGGTCCCTAGATTTCTTTTTTTTTTTTTAAGAATTATTTTATTTAAATTAATCTATCTATCTATCTATAGCTATCTATTTTAATAATAAGGAACAGAGTGAGAATGAGAGAAAGAGAGAGGGAAAGTGAAAAAGCAAGCCACCAGGTCTGGGACTCAAACTTCGGTCGGCCATGTGGGAATCCAGTGCTCTTAACCACCGCACCACCTGCCCCCATAGATTTCTTTAAAAAATTTTTGTTGTTACAGAATCCATGTGCTTGCCAGAGAGAGAGAGAGAGGGAAGGCAGAAAGCACTCCTTTGTGGGGGGAGATCAGAGCAATCTTTTCTTCATTCTTTTCTCAGGATTTTGGGCACACACACACATTTAGAATGTTTTTCTTTTCTTTAAAGAATTATTACGGTTTTAAAATTTACTATAAGGCGCATGCACCCACCAGAGAGAGACAAAAAGAGAGAAGGAAAGTGAGAAGGCAAGCTCTCAGGTCCAGGACTGCACCCACAGTTGGTCATGTGAGAGTCCAGTGTCCTAACCAGCATGCCACCTGCTGGCCCCCCTTGGCATGTATTTTAAGCCACCAGGTCCAGGACTGAAAACATGCAGTCAGCCATGTGGGATCTGGTCACTCTAACCACCATGACGCCTGCTGGCCTGACACGGATTTCCTTCAGCACTCTGCCAGGGAGATTGTGGTTGGTGAATCTGGTTTAGGCCTGATCACTAGTGTCTTTTTAAAGGTGGATCCAAGCCGCCAAGAGTTGCAACCACATATAGGGGTCCCAGTGTCCAGGGGCCTGGCACATAACACAATACGGGGATGGGGGGCACTAAGAACTGTGGCCAGTTAAGAATGCTTGCCCTACTGGATGGCAGGATAAATCGGGAACAGTACCAGCCAAATGAAGAGAGTGACTAATGGCCCCAAGACGACCATTGCACCTCTGCTCCAGAGACACGCCTCCCCACCCGGCCCTGCCGAGCCCCGGCGCCCTCACCGTAGACTGTGAGGGTGCAGCTGCTGCGGTCCTTGCCCAACTCGTTCTCCACCAGCACGCTGTACTCGCCGCTGTCCTTGAGCGTGCAGGTGGGGATGACGAGGGTGCACACGCCACTGGTGGAGTTGTACCAGAACTTGGAGTTGGCGGTGATGTTGACGTCACCCTTGTAGAGGGTCACCGTGGGCCGCGGGTTCCCAAGGAAGGCACAGGTCATGGTGCAGTCCTGGCCGCGGAGCACTGTATGTGGCTTGAGCGGGGTCAAGAAGCGCGGTGCCTGGCGCCAGTCCTTCTGCTGGTAGGGCTTCAGTTTGGCACTCAGGTCCTCAACTGCATGGCAGGGTGGGCGGTGAGTGTAACCCACAGTCACCACTCACTACCCTGGTGTCAGAGCTCAGAAGGTTCCCTGGAGACCTCGGTTCCCTGGAATCCCTAAGACCTGGGTCAGACTCCCAGACACCATCAACTCATGAGGACCCAACATTATGTTGGCTCTCCTACGGGTTCTCTGCCCCACCTCAGACCCTCCCCCTTTCCGTGCAGAGTTCTATGACTCAAGCCAGGTGCCCAGACTTGGGGTCCTAAATGTGTTTCCAGCGTCAGCTTTCCAGACTCAAGGCACCGCAGAGTTTACCCCGGTCTTTAACTCCCAGCTTCAAGCTTCCCTATGTAATTTCAGCTTCCAAGGTCTTCTCTCTCTCCCACGTGTTCCCTTCTTTCTAGCTTCCGGATGCTATCCTCACCCTTAATCCCTTCCCTGGAAGGCATCCCTGCCCCGGAGTCCCTCCCCAGCCCTCAGTCCTCCCCTTGGAGAGGGTCCCTTTGGTGTTCTAACATCCATCCATCCCTCCTTGTTGCTCCACAGATATCTGTATGGCAGGGTGGGCGGTGAGTGTAACCCACAGTCACCACTCACTACCCTGGTGTCAGAGCTCAGAAGGTTCCCTGGAGACCTCGGTTCCCTGGAATCCCTAAGACCTGGGTCAGACTCCCAGACACCATCAACTCATGAGGACCCAACATTATGTTGGCTCTCCTACGGGTTCTCTGCCCCACCTCAGACCCTCCCCCTTTCCGTGCAGAGTTCTATGACTCAAGCCAGGTGCCCAGACTTGGGGTCCTAAATGTGTTTCCAGCGTCAGCTTTCCAGACTCAAGGCACCGCAGAGTTTACCCCGGTCTTTAACTCCCAGCTTCAAGCTTCTCTATGTAATTTCAGCTTCCAAGGTCTTCTCTCTCTCCCACGTGTTCCCTTCTTTCTAGCTTCCGGATGCTATCCTCACCCTTAATCCCTTCCCTGGAAGGCATCCCTGCCCCGGAGTCCCTCCCCAGCCCTCAGTCCTCCCCTTGGAGAGGGTCCCTTTGGTGTTCTAACATCCATCCATCCCTCCTTTGTTGCTCCACAGATATCTGTACCCCCCCCATCTTCTCGTTAGTCTCCCCTCTCAAAGTATCCTGAAGATATCCCCTCCTCTGGGCTTCCCTAACATCTGCTCCTCTCCCCAGTGTTCCAGAGGTTAAACCCCCACCTCCAAGGTTCTCTGGTTTCATCTCACCCTTTGGGTACCCCTGGTGACGTCCCTTCTATAAGGGCTCCCAGCCTTAACCTAAACCCTCCAGTCCCCCACTCACTCTGGTCCTTATTGACCAGCCAGGTGTCCTTGGAGTCGAGCGGGTCACTGTCGCCGATTTCATTCCGAGCCACCACTCTGAAGTAGTACTTCCTGCCTGGGAGCAGGCCGGTCACTGTGTACTTGTTGCTGAAGACATGGTCGGCGGCTGTGAACCAGGTGGCGGTGCTGGCATCCCGCTTCAGGATGACGTAGTGGGCTTCACTGTCCTCCTGTACGTCGGGGCTGTGGTTCCAGGTCAGAGTCACCGTGTTGGGGACCTCCTCAAACAACTGTAGGTTTGTTGGGGGTCGGGGAAAATCTGGAACAGTCGGAACATCAGTGACTCTGGAGGGCCTGAGGAGTCGTGCCTCCACCTACCCCCCTGCCTAGCCTGTGGGAAGGTGGGGGAGAGCAGGTTGCTTCTGCGAGCCCTGGGCAGCTGGTGTCTTGGAGTCAGCAAAGTTGCTCTGAGGTGCTGCTCCGCCGTTTACTGGCCCTGTGACTCTGGGCAAGTGACTGGCCATTTCCGAGGCCCATTCTCAGTTGCAAAATAGCTACAAGTCTGTTTCACAGGAATAGTGGGTTAAGTTCCTGGCATGTAGTTACTGCTCAGAAGAGGTTCAGCCCTTCCCACTTTGGGGGTTTAGAGCTTTATTATAAAGCTTCTAGCCCTCTCTAAGAGGTCACCTTAATTTTATTTTTAAAAGGTTTTTGCCTTAGGGTGCGTGGATTTGCCAGAGAGAGAGAAAGAGAGAAAGAGAGAGAGAGAGTGAGAGAGAGAGAAAGACAGTGAGAGGGAAAGTGAGAAATCATTCCCCAGGGGTATGGCCACACCACAATCCCTTCTCCATTCTCCTCCCGGGATCTCGAGCATGCATTCACATGCACCCAGTCTGAGTTTGAAGCTACTGGGTCCGGGATTCAAAACACAGTCGGCCATGTGGGTGTTCAGCGACATAACCACTACAACAGCTGCCGGTCCGAGCCTTCATTTTGAACGATTTATCCCCATCTGTCTCTCCTGTCTTTCACCACTCTCTTCTTTCCCTGGTGACCATACTTCGCTACTCTAGGGCACGGCTTCTCCGTAGAAGGAACTCAAGGAGCAGTGAGAAGCTATGTTCTGGAGGGTCTAGGATGGCTTCAGAGGCCTCTGCTTGCTGCCTGTACCTGCCACTCGCACGCGGATATCGTAGTGCGCCTCTCCGAACTCATTCTGGAGCTGGATTCGGTACACCCCTGAGTCGGAGCGCTTGGTGCTGTTGATGAGGAACTGGGAGTGGTTTTTGCCCTTGGTGATGGTTTCTCGGCCCTTGGTGGGGATGCCATCTTTCTGCCAGATGACGTCGGGTGGTGGGGAGCCCTGAGTGACAGGAGGTGGCACCATCAGTTAAACAGATGGTGTCGAGCAGTCCCCTGCCAGGTTCTAGTGACAGGAATCTGGTGAGGGGCACAGCCAGAGGCAGAGACCATGAAGGCTGCGACAGCCTCTTGGTCATGGGGAGGACACGGGGGAGCCAGGGTCAGAAACGACTCACGGAGAAGGCTGCGTGGATGCAGAGGGCCGTCCCAGCACGAACCACCATGTGACTCTTCAGCCGGGCACTGAGGTCAAACTTGGGGGCCGCTGAGACAGGAGACAGAGGTGGGTCAGTGATCCTCTTTCAAGAAAACCTCTGTCGAGCCTTCCCTTCAAAGCCTTTGCCAGCCTCTTCTCCTCATGCCCCATTCCAGGCCACCGGGCAGCCCTGCACCTGTGAAATTCTTTCTTGTGTTCTCAGCCATCTGCCCCCGCTAGCATGAAAGACCCTGGCAGGCAGGCCCTGTGCATTTGTTTCTATCTCCTGAACTCTGCCCTGGGCACACACAGAGGGTACCATTGGGCACACAGGGTGTCTTTTCTTTTTCTTTTTTTTTTTTTAAACCAGTGCTGCTCTTGGGGTCACCCCCAGCTCTGTCGAAACACCAGTGTGAAGATTTTTCTGGATCCATTTCCCCCTGTGGGATGAGGCACCAGAGAGGAGAGTTTGGAACTAGGCTGTTGCTCCAACCCCCCAGCCCTTTCTGCATTCTCACCTGGTGGCGGCATGGCACGAACCCCCTCATCGAGCTCCACAGGCTCCCCGACCCCAGCCTCATTCACAGCCCGAATTCGGAAGAAGTATTTCTGCCTCTCAGTGAGGCCTCCCACGGTGTAGCAGGTGCCCGAGATGGGGATCTTTGAGCACTTGGACCACTCCTTGGAGTCTTCAGCCCGCATCTCAAGGATGTAGCCAGAGGGTGGGTCTCCCTCCGCAGGCTCGCGCCAGGCCAGGGAGATGCTGGAGTTGGAGGAATCAGACACGTGCAGGCCCTGCACCAGGCCTGGAGGTTCTGGGGTAGCATGGACATCTAGTCAGCCCCTGGACTTACTCCCACTGAACCCCAAGCCTCCCTACTCTCAGTGCTCCTGAACCCCTGACCTTTCATCACGTTTACCTCCAGCTCCCACAGTTAACATCATCAGTCCCCAGCCTTGCACACCCAACGACCTCTAAGTTCAATTTGCTCACTGACGCAACACTTGCTCCCTTAAAGTCAGTACCTTTCAAATTTAATGTACCCTACACATGCAAACCCTCTCTATAAAACTTGGGGCTGGCAGGTGGCATGGTGGTTAGAGCACTGGACTCCCACATGGCCAACTGTAGTATGAGTCCCGGACCTGGGTGCTTGCTTTCTCACTTTGTCTCACGTTTACCTCCAGCTCCCACAGTTAACATCATCAGTCCCCAGCCTTGCACACCCAACGACCTCTAAGTTCAATTTGCTCACTGACGCAACACTTGCTCCCTTAAAGTCAGTACCTTTCAAATTTAATGTACCCTACACATGCAAACCCTCTCTATAAAACTTGGGGCTGGCAGGTGGCATGGTGGTTAGAGCACTGGACTCCCACATGGCCAACTGTAGTATGAGTCCCGGACCTGGGTGCTTGCTTTCTCACTTTGTCTCTCTAGTGAGCACATGTGCCCTTTAGCAAATAACATAATAATAATAAATTAAATCAAGTAAGACAAAACAAACTGCAGCCTTTAACCCTTCGCTGCATCCATTTATAGGTGGTACCTCCGCCTTACCTTGTACACTGAACACCTCCAAACCATCTACCCAACACCCTGAACAATCCTCAACACGTCTCTGCTACCTCATCTAAACAGAAATCCCCAAAGCTTGATAAAAACTTCCAGCCATCACCTCCTTGCTGTCTCCAACTCTCAATCTCTATTTGCCGTCTTTCTCTCGAGCCTGGAAGCTTCGAGAGAGTGGACACTATGTGACCCCTCCTGTCAGGGGAGGGATTCTCTCTCCACTCCGAATGGGTGAATTCCATGCTTTGCGGGGCCTGGCAGCCCCCTACTCACTGACGGGATCCTTGGCCACCACTGAGCTGGATGGCATACTGGGCTGTCCAGGGCCTGCCTTATTCACAGCCACAACTCGGAATTCATATTCCGTGTCCTCCAAGAGACCATCCACAGTGTACTTGGTGCCTGAAATGGGAAGATAGGGCTTGTGAGGGCAGGCGTGTCCGCCGGGTGAGAGACTGAAGAGTGATCGACTGGGGAAGAGGAGGTTGCAGGGTGCTGTGAAGGACCCAAAATAGTTGGAGAAAGGGTTGTGTCGGAGTAGCAAAGAGGCCTCAGCAAGACCTCTTTTGGTCCCTCCTGGGTCTCTGTCCCTAGACCCTCACCCTGAATGGGGTCCTTGTTGACTGGCACCCACAGGTTGCTGCCTTTCTTTCTTCGCTCTACAATGTAACCAAGCACTGGGGCTCCCCCATCCTGGGTGGGGGCATTCCATGTGATGGTCACAGCCTCTTTGGTCACATCAGTCACTTGAGGCTGAGAGGCAAGACCTGGGGGCTCTGTTGGGGACAGAAAGAGGGCAAAGGTTAGGAGGGGAGCATGTAGACAATTGTCCACCCCACGCTGACCTCTGTCTGCTCCCCTTGCAAAATTCAAACCAATCATTCTATTACTATTATTATTATTATTTCTTTTTTTTAGTTGACTAGAAGTCAGGAACACTTGCTGGAGAGACACAGAGAGAGAGTTGGAAATCGAGAAAACACTCCTCATGGGGGATGGCCATGCCACAGTCCCTTCTCCATTTCTCCTTTTGGGATTTTGGGCATACACGCATACGTGTTCAGCGTTTTTTCAAGACACCAGTTTCAGGACTCACACTGAACAATCAGCCACGTGGGATCCAGTTGCCTTAACCACCAGGCCACCAGCTGGCCCTCAAGTCAATGATTCTTCACTTTGTTGTACGCTAGTATCAAGTAAGGATTAAATAAAACCCACCATGGAACCAGCAGTTGGAGTAATATCTATGTTGCTGGACTCCCATGTAGTAGGCTGCGGTTCGAGTTCCGGGCCCAGTGGCTTAAACTCATGCCTGGTGCGTGTGTACCCAAGATCCCGTGAGGAGAATGGAGGAGAGGGGATTGTGGCATGGCCATCCCCCTGGGAGGTGATTTCTCGCTTTCTGTCTCTGTTTCTCTCTGTCTTTCTGGCAAGCGCATGCATCCTATAGCAAAAACCTCTCAAAAGAAAAACATCCTGTAGCAAAACCCTCTCAAAAGAAAAAAAAACAAAAAAAAACCCCAAAACAAACAAACAAACAAAAGAAAACCACCATAAAAACCCTCAAACTATCTGGGTTCTATTTCAGATATTTTAATTTAATTAGCCCAGAGTAGAGAGGAACAAGCTTCAGTCATTTTAAAAGTCTATTCATTTCTCTCTTCCATGAGTGAAAGGGAGAGAAAGAGAGAGACTGGCACCCAAGAGGGTCCTCATGCCGCGATCCATCCCCAGCCAGCCCTGGGCCACAGGTGCATGTGCAGCCCCACTCCACATGCCCAGGGAGGTCTCCAGATGTAAGCCTGGAACCCTTCCATGTGGATCAGCCTCATTAAGCATTGCATTTCACCTGTGCCAACACTTGGGCTCCTAGCATTTTTAAAAGGCCTTAAGTGATTCTCTGTGTGTGTTTTCTTTTTTTTGAGAGAGGTTTTTTTGCTATAGGGTGTGTGCACTCACCAGAGAGAGAGAGAGAGAGAGAGAGAGAGAGAGAGAAATCACCCCTCAGGGGGCATGGCCACACTACCATCCCTTCTCCTCTACTATCCTCTTGGGATCTTAGGCACACATATATATGTGCCCAGTGTGAGTCTCAAGTCGCTGGGTTGAGGACTTGAACTGTGGTCGACTATGTGGAAGTCCAGTGATGCAACCATTATGACATCTGCTGATCCCCCTTTTCTTTTGTAAGAGATTTTTGGTATAGGACACGTGCATGCACCAGAGAGACACAGAGAGATAGAAGGACAAAAAGTGAGATATCATCCTCCAGGGGGGATGGCCATGCCGCAATCCCTTATCCTCCATTTGCGGGATTTTGGACACACACATATATGCTCCTGGTGTGAAGTTTTAAGTTGTCTGGACTGGGACTTGAACTGCAGTCGACTACATGGGAGTCCAGCAATGTAACCATCACTCCATCTGCTGGTCCTAAGACCTGAAGTGATTCTAATGTGTAGCCAAGATTGAGAATCACAGACCCAAACTTTCCAACCTATGTGACCACCAACTCCACGGTTCTCAAACTACTGTCTCAACAACAGAGACAATAGAGCAGTTGGGAGAGATGTACCCCGTAATTAACAATCATAATGAAATTCCCAAGAGTTTTCTTGGGGAAAAGGTAGAGTGGTTCTGAAGCCAGACAGCGGTGCAGTAGTAACGCTGTGCTCTGTGAGGCCCACGCACACGAGCTTTCAGGTTTACTGCTGAAGACCTCACTGAGCACACCAGGCACGGGGGTGCCCATGATCAGGGGCTGGATGCGGCTGGGGGTGGGTCGCAGTGGAGAGACTCTCTGGGGTATTTTCTCTTTCTCTCTGTCTCTTGCTCATGAAAGAAAAAAAAAACCTTAAAAAAGTTGAGTGGATTCAAGGTTACCCCAAAAGTCACACCATGCTCACTTAGATTCCAGGATGATTTCTGGAATGGAGAAGGAACTGGAGTCGGTTCCCCCGGAGCTGTGCACATTCTGGATTTACCCATGGCAGTGTGTGTGCATGTGACCTGACTGGGGAAGGAGAATTCCTGCTTGGACTGATCTCCTCCTACTCTGGGATCAGACCATCTAGAGTGATGATTAGAGTGATGATTTTGTGGAATTCCACAGTGAGGGACACTGGGTGAAGGCCCCCACTCCAACCCCTGGGGTCCCCACCAAGCACTGGGCAAGCTCACGGACCTATGGGATTTCCTGCGAACACTTCGTCTGTCTCCAGCGGGTCGCTCACACCTTCCGAATTGACCGCCAGGATACGGAACTGGTAGGCTTTCCCCTCTTCCACCTTGTTGGTGGAGAAGTTGGTGACCTTGCCATCCACCTCGCCTATCTTAATCCAGGACTTCTTGCCGACCGCTCTGCGTTCCACTATGAACTGTGTCACAGGCCGCCCGCCATTGTCCTTCGGGGCCTTCCACTTCATGTGCACGCAGCTACCAGAGAGCTCCAGGAACTCCACCCGACCCTGTGGAGGCTTGGGACGGTCTGAGGAGAGAACAACTGTGGAATGAGGCTTTGGAGCAAAGGATCAGAGGGCCTCCTCCTCCTCACTGGAGGTCAGGCCACACTGGGCATGGATCCTTTGCCCTTCCCTGTGTCCACTACCCCACCTTCCAAGACTTGCCCAAGAGTTTAACCCTTGCTCCCTGAGCCTCCTGCCTGCTTAGGAATGGACCGAAGACCTAAGGGGCCCCTGCCTTAGCCGATCCTCCTGGGCCCCTCCAGACAAGTTCTCCTTTTCTGAGCTTCGGGAACAGCAGTGCCACCTGGCATCACAGTTTACCCTATAATTACACACCTGTCTATTGCTTTGATCTCTTTTGTGTTGAGGGACTGCTAGGGATACTTCACCGCTGTGTCCCCAGAACTAAGAACACACGTAGGTGCTTAGTCATGCTGCCGAAAACCAGACCTTCCACCCGGCAGCTGGATGGAAATGCCGGTGGAGGAGGCGGTGACAGCGTGTGTTGCACGTTGACTGTAAGTTCGTTAAGGCCAGCTCCTCACCTCTTTCCTTATCCTCCTGTTCAGACCCATCCCAAATTCTAGTCCTGTCGCCTGTTCCCTCTTTCTCTCCCCACTTATCCCCAACCCTATCTCACTTCGTACCTCTTCTATTTCACTTATAACTTACTACTCTCTCCAACGAACCTCACTTCCAGTTCTAAACTCCACCTTTTTTTCTCCTCATATCTTAAAGTTTTATTTTTTTTGTAATATTTGCCTCATATCTTAAAGTTTTATTTTTTTTGTAATTTTTGCCATCGAGTATGTACACACTTTCTCATGAGAAATCACCTCCCAAGGGGAATGGCAATGCCCCATCCCTTCTCCTCCATTCTCCTTTCAGGATTTTGGGCACACACACACACACACACACACACACGCATGCGTGCACGCATGTACCTGAAGTGATTTTTCAAGTCGATCGGCTTGTGGGGATCCACTCCTTGACCACCATGCCACCTGCTGGCCCTCTTTACCCTGATTTCAACCTTACCTCCAACCCTGTCCTCATCTCGAAGCCAATTACAATCACTTATGTAACGTATTTGAAGGTTGTGCTATGCACTTGGGGTGGATATTAGGGGGAAAATCACCCTGTTTCAGGTGAGCAATGAGGCTTAGAATGGTTCACTAGCCAGGCCAGGGCTTAGACGTTAGGAAGTCAGGAAGTGGGGGGTGGATATTAGGGGGAAAATCACCCTGTTTCAGGTGAGCAATGAGGCTTAGAATGGTTCACTAGCCAAGGCCAGGGACTTAGAAGTTAGGAAGTTAGGAAGTGGACTTCAGGCCGCCAAGCTGCCTTCCCCTCCCATTTCCAGCCCAAACCCCAAATCCATCCCCAGTCACCTCCTCAACCTGCCGCCCACACCCCAGCCCGGGCAGTGGCCTCAGACCAGCCCAGCTGGCCCTGCCCTCACCCAGCACGCTGAGGTGCAGGGTGGCTGTGGCCGAGCCGTGGTCGTTCTTCAGCTTGAGCAGGACCAGGCCGCTGTCCTCCCGAACGCATTTGGAGATGGTGAGCAGCGCCTGGTCTTCCCCGCGCTCCATGGACACACGCTCCTCCTCCGTCACCTCCACACCATCCTTGTACCACGTCACTTTGGGCAGCGGCTTTGCCCGGAAAGGCACTTTGATGTGGGCTGTGTGGCCCACCTTCACGGTCACTGGGTGCGCCGCCAAAGCCTCCAGTACGGACGGGTCGATCGTAGGGGGATCTGTGGGCCAGGAGGCAGGGAAGGCTCACCCTCCAGGATGGAGGGGACGGCAGGGTCGGGGAGGAGCCGGGAGCAGGCGGGAGGCTTGACCCGGACCGGCTGAGCTTCGTGCCCCTGACTGGGACCATACCTGCGATGAACATCGAGGCTTCGCTCTCCGCGCCCTTGGCCCGGAACGTGTATTTGCCCTCGTGCTCGGGGCCCATGTTGGGGAAGATGAGCTTGTGCACCGCACCCTGCTTCACGATCTGCACGCCCGGGAGGTCCGTGATCTGTGGGCGAGGGTGGGCGTGAGTGCCCGCGCGGCCCAGCAGGTCTCCTTCGCCCCCTCCCCAGCCCTGCCTCGGACCTCCTTGCCATCTTTCAGCCACACGCCCTCCACCTTCTCGTCATTCAGGACCACACACAGCTCCGCCGGGCTCCCAGTGGCCGCGTGCACATCGGACATCCCGCTCTTCACGGTGGCCAGACGCTCTGGGGAGAAGCGGGGGGTTGTGGAGCTGAAAGGGACGGTGGGGAAAGGACTCTTGCCTATGGCTGGGGGAACCATTAGAAGTGCCACTTTACAAAACCATGAGGAGCAGGTGGTTTGGCAAGAGTTAGTGTTAGCTACTGGGGGTGGTCAGTGGGGAACTGGAGCAGGCAGGAGGGGGTGGGGTGGGGAGAGGTCAGTGGCCCAGGAAACGGTGGCCGGGAAGACCAGGAGCTGGTTAATGAGGAGCTGGTAGTGGAGGATGCCAGCAGAGGGTTAGGGTGCTCAGTTGAAGAGAGAAGTAGTGGAGGGCAGGTGGTTAGTGGAGTCGGGATGTTTGGTGTGGTCGTGTTGCTCTGCGGGGTGCCAGGGCCATTGGGGAGGAGGGTGGTCAGGGTCAGTGGGCAATCGTCAGGGTTAGGGGGTAAGGGATGGTCCAAATCAGAACTGTGGGATAATTGGGGAGGCAGGGGACAGCCAGAGCCTGGAAGTGAGGGATGGAGCCTGGGAGATGGAGCGTGACCAGGGTCTAGGAGGGGTGGATTTTCAGGGCACGGGAGATCGGAGTGTGGCCAGATCACAGAGGGACACGTTGCTCCTGGGCTGGGGAAGGTCTGAGTCACAGGGGCAGGCCAGCGTCTACAGGAGAATGCCAGGGTCAGAGTATTGTCAGTGGGCACTGATGGGGTGGGTGGGTACCCTCCACAGTCAGGATGGCAGTGCTGTAGTATTCGGTGGGGTCCCCGTCCTGCACGGCCACCACGGTGTACTCGCCACCGTCGCTGAGCTGCGCGTCCTCGATGACCAGCTCCGCGCGCTTGCCCTCGTGGCTCATGCTGTACTTGGTGCCGCGCTCCAGCAGCTGCCCGTCCTTCTTCCAGCGCAGCGTCACGTCCTTGGACGTCAGCTCGCACTCGAGGCACGCGCGGCTCTTCTCTTTCACGCGTACGTTTTTGAGGGTGCTCACAAACTTGATGGGGATGCCTGAGGAAAGACAAACACTTGGGCTTGCTCCCAAACCCCCACCTCCTTTTTCTGTAGCACATCCTATTCTGCTCCTCTTCTTGGCCCCAGAAAATGCAAAAACGGGGGCCACCAGGTGGTTTAGGCACTGAACTCCCACATAGCTGACCGTGACTCTACTGGAGTCCTGGACCTGGAGGCTTGCTTTCTCACTTGCCCCTCTCTCTCTGGTGAGCACATATGCCCTATAGCAAACTTAAAAAAATAAAATAAATAATTTTTGAAAAGAAAATGCAAAACCTTGTGATGTTGAATGTGTTTGTGTGCAAAATGCGCCCCATGGAAGTGCCTGACAGAGTCCCAGTTCTGCCCCTGACTTGCTGGTTAGTTGCACATAACTCCCTCATTCTGCATCTCAGTTTCCTCGTATGTAAAATGGATGGGAACTTTGACAGCAGCACAGTCAAGTTCTCCAACACCCCCTGGAGCTCCAGCCATACGTGCATCGTGCATCGTCTCTCTGGTGCCTGGGCCTTTGTACGAGCTGTTACTACTGCTGGGGGATGTTCTCTGCGCTCCCAGCTTCTTTGACACCCCTTTGGTTCTTTGTGGCGAAGCTTGGATATCACTTCATTCCAGGATTTCGAACATCGCTAGGTAGTGCCCTTCTTTGAGCTCCCACAGCCTCTGTCTCTCTCTACCACAGCAATGACGATTCCATGTGACACAGATCCCATATGTGACATGCTTGTCAGTGTACGCAGGATCATGTACACATCCCCAAACTAGGTACTTCAGAATGTGAGTGGTCAGGAGTGACACGGGTGTGCTATAACATGACACTGGAGCCGTAAAGGCTAATGATGTCTTGGGCTGTACTTCAGAATGTGAGTGGTCAGGAGTGACATGGGTGTGCTATAACATGACAAAGGCTAATGATGTCTTGGGCCGTGATCCAGCTCATAATAAGATTATAATGCATCTGAATCCCTGGCTTAAGTACTGCTATTCTAATTTCTTTTTACACCTGCCTCCCCCACCAGACTAAGTGCTAACAGAGAAGAGAACACAATATCTTTCTTTCTTTCTTTTTAAAGAGAGATTTTTTGCGATAGGTCATGTGTGCTCACCAGAGAGACAGAGACAGAAAGCGAGAAATCACCATGCAGGGGGTATAGCCACAATCCCTTGTCCTCCCTTCTCCTCCCGGGATTTTGGGCATGCATGCACATATGACCAGCACGAATTTTAAGCCACTGGGTCCAGGACTCGAACTGCAGTTGACTACATGGGAGCCCAGCAATGTAACCATCAAGCCATCTGCTGGTCTAAAGAACATGCTATCTTTCTAGTACCCATCACAGGACCTTGCAAAGAAGTGATGGCTGGCTGGCTGGCTGGCTGATTGGCCACATGGAGGTTGCTGTGGCATGAAGCCCACCCTCGAGGTCTTGCCCAACCACTCACGGTCAATAGTGAGCTGGGCCTTCTGTACCAAGTTCCCTGCCTCAGCAGAGAACTCGCCGCTGTCGCTGAGTCGGGCATCCTTAATCTTAAGCGTGTGGGTCAGACCGTCCTCGGACACCAAGATTTCATACTTGTCATCCCTCTTCAGCTCCTTCCCATTGAACTTCCACACAAAGTTGGGCTCTTTCTTGGAGAGGCGAACCTCAAACACAGCCGTCTGGCGCTCTGTTACCTTCAGCGGCTTCATCTCTCCCAAGAACTTCAATGGCTCATCTGCAGCAAAAGGTGGGAGGGACAGTCACTGGACTGTAGCCTTGTCCCTCCTGAGGGTAGGATGGTCAAGGGGCGTGGCTCTGAAGCCACTGGCCTCCTGCAGACTCCATTCAGAGACAAGCACCTTCCCTTTCATTTTGCTGTGAATCCTTTTTCCCTGGAACCCCCTCGTATGATGTTCGCATGGTCCCCTCTCCAGAGACAGGAACAGCAATTTAGGGAAGCACTCCACGTAGTGTTAGATATGTGCCAGACACTATTCTAGCCAACTTGTACATATTGATTCATCCAATTCTCATCTAGGTAGATTCTATGATTATTCCCCATTTTACAAATGGACAGAGGCAAAGAAAAGCTAAATAACTTGCCCTCAATCGCAAGCTCATAAGTAGAAGCTGGGATTTGAACACGAGTAGTTTAGCTCCAGTGTCTGGGCTATTAACCACTATACCACACTGCCCCATGGCACTTCTTTATCTTATACTCCTCTCTCTTATGTCTTGTGTTTCCCTCCTGCCTTAACTCCCATCCCCCGCAGTCCTTCACTGCAGAACCTCACTGACCTCTCCATGGATTCCATCCCTGCCTATTCTCCCTGGACCCTGGCATGTTGTGCTTGCATCCCCAGATGGTCACACTCATACCCAGCACAGTGAGCTCTGCACTCATCCGCTTATCACCCACGGCTAGGCTGTAGGTGCCGGCGTCATTCATGTTCACGTTGGTGATAACCAGCATGTACTTGGTGCCCATCTGCTTCACGTCGTACTTGCCCAGGGAGTACTGGATCCTCAGAGGCTCAGTCCCCTGCACCATGGAACAGGTAGGAAAGCTGATGAAAGGGTGTAAGAGGAGACTTCCAGAGCTCCCCATTCCCCAAAGCCAGCCTGAGCTGGAGGATGCATGTACACCCCTCTACACACACACGGGCCCATGATATCTCTAGCTTCATCATCAGCTTCATCATCTGGATTGTAGGATCAGGATTCCTGTTCCCCACAAGGTCCAAATTCTTAATGTGCTAAGTTCATTAGATGCTTTCTCTTAGAGGCACAGGTCTTCAGTGACCCCTCAGGACTGCCTCATCTAGTCTTCCAATGTGAAGATGTGTAGACGTAAGAATGGGCAGACTGACCCACAGAGAGAAGAATGTGATTATCTCAGGTCAAATGGCAAGGTGGTGGGACAGCTAGGAGTTCAGCCCAGCTCCCAGTCTCTTTCAACCACACCAGGAAGCATCCTCTTGCTAGGATAGAAGAGAGGTTATGGCTTATGGATAATGAGAGGCTTTGAGAAGGAGGGGATGCAGAGTGGAAATGATATTACCAGGGTGGCCCCCGGCTGGGTGCTCCCCTCTCACCTTGATCCATATCATCTTGGTGTTGGGGTCCTTTAGCTCCATGATGCAGTCAAAGACCACTGTGGTATCGATCTTGGTCTCTTTGTCTTCCAGGGGCTTCAGAATCCGGATGGGCTAGGAGGTTGTAATAACAAAGTAGAAGTGTCCACAGCATCTGGAGACTGTCCAGGCTGTGGTGGAGCCCTGTAAGAGTCTAGTAAGAAATGAACAGGCTCATTTGATAGCCCCACACCACCCTCACTCGCCCTATTGATCAAGTGCAAGATTTAGGAGGAGAGGAATATGATATGGGATGAGGAAGAAACCTATTCATAGGATGGTCAAGTCATCACATACCCGGGCCCATTGTACAGATGCTCTGATTTTTAGCATAGGTGCTTAATGTGAGTTGGTTGAGCGAATGAATACATGACAACAACACAGCCAAAAATGAAAGACGGGAGCATAACGCTCATTTTGCAGATGAAGAAACAAACTCAGAGACGCCCAAGTTCACATGCTAATAAGGGATTAGGATGGGATTTGAATCCAGGTCTGTCTGATTCCAAAGTCCATGTAAGCACAGTAGGGAGTGGTTAAGAGGAGGGGTAGAAGGCATGTGACTTGGTGACTTGCGTTCCCTTCCCTCTGCCGCAGTAGAGTATGGTTGTGAGTATGCATGGGTGCAGGGTGAAGAGACCTTGCCCCTGGCAGACACATGGTGCTGGCCTGCAGCCCTGCCCCCTGCTGGCACTGACCTCCACCTCCACTTTCTTCTTCATCTCCTTGAGCTTCTTGAGCAGCCCCCGGAAGTCGGTGAAACCATACTCCATGCAGACCTTCTCAAAGTCCTTCTTGGGCACCTTGGACAAAATCTCCAGCATCTCTTTCTCGTCTGTCACCTTCTGTTTCTTCTTGGGAGCAGGGGGAGCTCTGGGAGGAGGTGGAGACCAAGTTTGTACTCAGCATCTTTCTCTGAAGACAGAGGGAGCCTCTCCCAACCTGGAGATGCCCCTGCCTACTACATGGGTCCTTGGAACTCAGGGCCCGGTTGGAAGGACTTCGAGAGAGTGAGCAGACGGCACCTTGGACAGAGGGTGCTCTTAGTCTCACCTCTTCTTCAACATTTTTTTGAAATCCATTTTCTCTTGACCTGAGGACAGAGAGAAGGACAGAGTCAGATGGGGGCAGTCTGAACCCTGAGAAGAGAGGCCAGGAGGAGACTGACTCACCCTCTGTCACCAGCAAGGATATGGTGCAGATGGCATCTGCGTGGTCATTGCTGGCAATGCACTTGTAGTTGTCGGAGTCATCTGAGGTCAGTGGTTCCAGCTGGATCAGAGTCAGGCCATGGGTGGGAGAGGGAGGGGGAACCACAGGGAGATGATGTGTGAGACTGGGGAGGAGGGCTTTGATGTGTGAGCAGGCAGAAGCTCAGGGTAGGGCGCATGTGGGAAGGATGGAGCAGTTGCTATGACTTGGAGGTCCCAGGGGACAGACAGTGGGTATCGTGTTTGCAGCATTAAATCACCTGCTTCCCGTCAGACTCCCACCTGGGCTGTGAGTGCCAGGAGGCAGGGCCTGTGAGTTGTCACTCTAGCGGCTCTTGCACTGGGTTGAGTATTTCTTCGTTTAACACAATTTATTCCGGTGTACCAGGCAAAGGCTGAGTCCCAGACACACAGGACTGAGTGAGGTTCATTCAGTGCTGTCTGCATGGCACTCATGGACAGGAGGGCTCTTAGAAGCCAAGGTCTTAAATGCACTTGCCAAATGCATGAGCTGATGTGAGGGTCACCAGGACCAGGACTTGGGAGCAGTTTGTGTGTGCTGCGGGGGCTGAGAGTCCTGTAATAGGTCTTTGGGAGGAGAGGGAACCAACTTCTGTCTGTGGGGAAGGGGGTCACCTAACCAGGGACCCTCTTTGCCCTTTCCCCACAGAAGGACAGAACCCTAGTAATTATAGGGACAGGAGTAATTAGAGGTCTCGATCTTCCAGTGACTTTCCTCAAAGCATCTGGAGCCAGAGGTTGCAGGCGGGCAAGCCTGCTCTCAGGAAGTGACCCAGAAGCTGGTCAGAGCTCAGGATGACAGGCCTCTGCCAAGGCCCTTCTGAAGGTCTCCGCTCAGACTCTCAGTTCCTCCATATGATCCTCTCGCCCCAGTGCGGCTTCGCCCCACCCACTTTGGTCCCGCCCCTTCTAGGTACGCCCATCTCTTTGGGTTCGCGTGCCTTTTAGACACCCTCTCCCCCCTAGACCCGCCCCTCGCCTCTGTTTGGCCCCACCCCCTCATTAATTTTGGTCTCATTCTAGCAGCGCCTCAACTCCGGACTCCGCCTCTCTAATCCGGAGGTGCCCCTAGGGCGAGGGCGGCCTTGGCCCCACACCGGGTGGTGGCTCTCCTGACCTCGGGTCTCCCGGGTGACCAGACCCCGCACCTTCAGCACGTGCTCCTTGTTAATGCTGTCGTAGAACATCTTGGCGGACTCCTTGATGGGAATGCCGCTCTCCCTCTTCCAGGAGATGTTGGGCTTGGGGTTCCCCTGCACGCGGGCTCGGAACACGGCTTTGTCCCCTGCGGTGGCACAGTGCTTTTTCGTCTCTTAGCCTCCAAGCGAGACCCTCGGTCTGCTCCCCGCCTCCTCCCAGGGATCTGGGGCTGGCCCCCGGGCGGGGGAAGGTCCCCCAATACCAACACACAACGTCGGTGTATTGGGGAAGGTTGGAGGGTCGGGGTTGCTGCGGGACTGGGGAGGAAAGAGAAGCACGGGAGCGACGCACCCTCCGGGGAGGTGACCGGGTGAGGTTTCTCCACGAACTCAGGGACGCTCTCGCCCTCTGGGATGTTGGAACTCCGGGTCACCAAGCTGAAGAGCTCCACCGTGCTGGAGGACTTGCTGGTCACGACTTCCTCTGTGGGAGCAGACGAGAGGTCAGAATGGGCCAGGGGGTGCTCATCCCGGCCTGGAGGGCCGCCCTCGTCTTGAGGGGACAGCGGAGCATGCAAAGGAATGGCGTTTACAGCCCCTGGGGACAGGACCAGCATTGGTGGGCCGAGAAAGGGCCTGAGAGGTGGGCCACTGGGTATGGTTATGACAGATCCTAACCATTAGGGGATGCCAACTCTGCCCTCAACGTTCAATCACCTTCATTCGGGAAAGACTAATTTTATTTTTTATTTTATTAAAGGAGACTTCTCTTTTGGGGTTTTCTTGGTCTCTTGGGTTTATTTCCTAGAAGTTCTGGTCTCAGTAGTATTAAGAAGGGCGGAGCTTCCCTGCTTCTGCTGAGGTCTCAGCTCAGGCTTGGCTAGGCTGACGGGCACCTCTGGCACCTCCCGAGTCCTACATTCGCTGCCTTGGGGGGTGATCTTCAGTGAAGGATAGAATATTTCCCAGGCCAGTGGGGCTGATGTGGGAATTCCTTAACTAAAAGAGTGCTGATACCATTTTACATTTGGAAAACAACTTTTTACAGTATAAACTACAGAAAGTCTTGGCTGGTGAGTTATCGATAACAACCACGGTGATTCAAGGAGGGCTTGGCTTGTGTCAGAACTGTGCGAGGCACATATCAGAGACAATTGTATTTACTTCTCACGGCATCCCAGAGAAGTAGGTGCCTTTATTTATTTATTTTTTTTGAGAGATTTTATATATATATTTTTTTTTTTTGAAGAGGTTTTTGCTATAGGGCTCCTGTGCTCGCCAGCCAGACAGAGAGAGACAGATTGGTGGGCCGAGAAAGGGCCTGAGAGGTGGGCCACTGGGTATGGTTATGACAGATCCTAACCATTAGGGGATGCCAACTCTGCCCTCAACGTTCAATCACCTTCATTCGGGAAAGACTAATTTTATTTTTTATTTTATTAAAGGAGACTTCTCTTTTGGGGTTTTCTTGGTCTCTTGGGTTTATTTCCTAGAAGTTCTGGTCTCAGTAGTATTAAGAAGGGCGGAGCTTCCCTGCTTCTGCTGAGGTCTCAGCTCAGGCTTGGCTAGGCTGACGGGCACCTCTGGCACCTCCCGAGTCCTACATTCGCTGCCTTGGGGGGTGATCTTCAGTGAAGGATAGAATATTTCCCAGGCCAGTGGGGCTGATGTGGGAATTCCTTAACTAAAAGAGTGCTGATACCATTTTACATTTGGAAAACAACTTTTTACAGTATAAACTACAGAAAGTCTTGGCTGGTGAGTTATCGATAACAACCACGGTGATTCAAGGAGGGCTTGGCTTGTGTCAGAACTGTGCGAGGCACATATCAGAGACAATTGTATTTACTTCTCACGGCATCCCAGAGAAGTAGGTGCCTTTATTTATTTATTTTTTTTGAGAGATTTTATATATATATTTTTTTTTTTTGAAGAGGTTTTTGCTATAGGGCTCCTTTGCTCGCCAGCCAGACAGAGAGAGACAGAGAGACAGAAAGTGAGAAATCACTCCCCAAGGGGATGGCCATGCCGCAATCCCTTTTCCTCCATTCTCCTATCAGGATCTTGGTCACACATGCACACGCGCCCAGTGTGAGTTTTTAAGCCACTGGGCCCGGTACGTGAACCGCGGTTGACTACATGGGAGTCCAGCGACATAACCATTATGCTAACTGCTGGTCCCTTGAGAGATTTTTGCTATAGGGTGTGTGTGCTTTCCAGAGAGACAGAGACAGAGAGACAAAAAGCAAGAAATCACCTCCCAGGAGGGATGGCCATGTGGCAATCCCTTCTTCTCTGTTCTCCTCTTGGGATTTTGGGCACACACGCACACCTGCCTGGTCTGAGATTTAAACTCCAAGGTCTGGGACTCAAACCACTACATAGGAGTCCAGTAATATAACCATTATCCCATCTGCTGGTCCCTCTTTCTTTCTTTCCTTTTTTTTTTTTTTTTAAGAGATTTTTTGCTATAGGGCATATATGCTTGCCAGAGAGACAGAGAGAAGAAGTGAGCAATCTCCCCCCCCCCGGGGGGGGGGGGGGGGGAGATGGCCACGCCACAATCCCTTCTCCTCCATTCTCCTCTCAGGATTTTGGGCACACATGCACACATGTCCAACATGATTCTCAAGCTGCAGGTCTGGGACTCGAACCGTGGTCAGCCATGTGGCAGTCCAGTGCCTTAACCACTATGCCACCTGCTGGCCCAGTAGGTACCTTTCTTACTCCCACACATCTGTGGGCTGAGATGAAGCAAAAGTGTGAAGACGCTCCTGGCCTGCTTTCACATCGTGAGCAGAGGTCTCCGGCAGCGTGTGGGTGCACTTGCCTGCAGGTATCTTTTATTCAGCCCTACATCTAAAACTTGAAAGTTTCCACACACAAATTCAAATTTCTGGGTCCTCAGCCGATTTTCATAGTCCTATGTACCAACAGTTAGTGCAACAGGAATAGTGGTTACTCCTTTGGATGGGATATAGCCTCTTATTTTTTTCAAGCCTCCAGGTCCAGGATTTGAACTGTAGTTGGCCCCGTAGGAGTCCAGTCCGTGATGCCACCTGCTGGCCCAGGGTTATGTCTTCTCTTGATATGTGTCTTTCCCAACATTTACGTTCCCTGCCTGGGCCCTGGCCATCTTTTAATCACTCTCTTCACGACACATGTCTGAAATAGTCCGCTGGGCTCTGAGATCATTTGTCCAGTCTGCCCCGGGCCTGCCCTCCCTGAGTCTTGCCCCCAGGGGCTAAAGGCCCCGAAGCTTAGATCATAGTTTGTGTGTTCTCGTCATCTCTCACTGGAGCTCTGGTCTCCCTGTTCTGAAACGGAGCAGCGTCAGCATTACTCATCTGTAGGTAATGGTGACAGCCTTCCTCATCTCCCCCATGCCTGACATTCTGCCGGGGGATCCAGTCCGTTCATCTACATGCTCTGCTCCCTTAAGCAATGAAGAGTTTATCAGTCATTCACATACATCCACGGGACTGATTTTTCAGCTGTTTTCCTGGAGATCAGATCTGTGGGTGAACCTCCAGCTGGCGGAAGCTTAATCAAAGCCCAGATTAGAAGCACAGGTTGGGAGGGGGGTGCGGTTGGCATGTGGGTGTCTGAGGGGCCCATTAGTGGCAAGAAACGAGGCCGCCTAGGGGGTGATGTGGAGGAAGAAAGGCTGCCCCTTCCCGGTCCCTCCCTCGGCCCCATTCCACTTGCCTCCCACGATCTTGGTTGTCTGGGAGAAGGTCTGCACGTGGGTGGTGGAGCTGGAGAACTCCATGGACACGTGCTCCTGCAGCATCTGCTGGTGGTGAATGGTTGTCATGGTGACAGCAGGCGTGGGCACTCACCTGTGAGGACGGGAGGGGAGGAGGCTATGGAGGACCAGGGAGGGAGGAGGGAGATCCAGGGATGTTCTGTGTGTGTGGACACGACGGGAGGTGGGAGAGCACAGGAGGGCAAGGAGCGTGGCCAGGCAGCCCACCCCTACTTTCCCTGGCGGGTTACGAGGACCCGTGGGCCTGTCCTCTCCGTGAGTACCTCCAAACCATTCCAAGTTGTGGGAGGGTCAGATACAGGGCTTAGACTTACAGAGCCAACCAAGCAAGGCCCAGAGTGAGGTGTGGGTACCTACCAATAGCTAATAGAATGAAGGAGGCAACACGGGCATTTCATCAGGCGAGAAGAAGTCCGACCTCAGAAGGAACTTCCTGACTAAGCCCGACTGGAGGGGCCTGAGAAGGAAGCTGTGGAGCTTCTTTCTGGGCCCTGGGGACTCCTGACATTGTGAGTTGCTAAGATGGGTGACAATGCAGTTCTACAGCTATGCTTTCTTTCTTTCTTTCTTTCCTCTTTTTAGAGAGAGATTTTTGCTATAGGGCTAACGTGTGCTAGCCAGAGAGACAGAAAGTGAGAAACCCTCCCCCCAGGAGATATGGCTGCACCACAGTCCCCTCGCCTCCTTTCTCCTCTAGAGCTTTGGGGCATGTACGCACATATGCCTGGCCTAAGTTTCAAGCCTCTGGGTCTAGGCCTTGAACCATGGTTGGCTATGTGGGAGTTCAGCATCTTAACCACCATGCCACCTGA